AATACAGATCATCCAACTGAAATTGTAACAACTACAAAATAGCTTCATAATGAAATACTGTCTCTCAGTCCCTATTTTGAACTAACCTATAAGTTTATCTAATGTTGATAAGAGTAAAAAAAAAAAAAAATCACTTTACATGGCAATTGTACAGTTGTAGCCTTTATTAACTTCAGGGAGAGGCAGGAGAAAATGAGGTTTAAAGCGAATAAAGTCAAGTCAGACTCTAGCTGTAGGTTTTATATCTTTCCGAAATCCCGAGAAACATAAAACATCTGCATTTTGTCTGGTGTTAAGTAAAAATGATGCAAAACCACCCAATTCACATAATTTCCTTCAGAAGCCACAAACTGCCCACTGACAGCCAAAGAACTCAGAAACTGAATAGCTTTGTTGAAACCTGGAACCAGCTGTTTTTGAGTTTTTTCTTCACTCCTCTGTAAAGCACTTGCAACAGGAACACTATTGGCATAGCCACATACAGCCAAACCTCCAAGTAAATAGACAACCACATAGAAGTACCGTATCTAGAGCCTATATACTCTTTTCAACACTATGGAATCTTAGAAATCTGCGTGTAAAATAAGAAAACTACAGCTGAAAAATGTTAAACAGCTCATCGGGTATAAAAGCCAGGGCTAGACTCAGATGTCCCCATTTGTCCAGTGCTTTTAGTTAAGACTTGCTTACAGGCATACAGAGCTTTTTAAAATAAAATATGCAAACCCTTAGAAATCTTTATTGCAGAGATCTCCACTTGGTAGTAGAGAAATTGTTAAAATAATTCAAATGAATTGTGCCATGAATATGATGGAAAAGTTAAGGAACAGAATAATTACAGAGCAAGAAACAAATATTTTGTGACAATCTGTGTGATTAGGTGCTGTGTGCCGTAAATATGTAACCATCAGTGCATTAGTGTTATGAACATATTAACAAAATTTCACCTTACAAAGAGACACATCAATAGTCAATAAATTAGGCAATTAGACAATAAATTAGACAATTAGAAAAACAAATTCTGAATTCTCAGTAACGTAGAGATCTGTTTATGAGTCAAAAACACAAAACAATCAAAGGGCAGAAAGAAGGAGAGAGTAATGACCTCTAAAAGAACTATGAAAACACAATCTGCCAATTTCTGGAATAGGTCATGCTTTCCCAGCTGGTAGGAATTTGGGATGGAGTGTTGGGTGGCTCAGGCAAGGAGCAGGACAGCTCCTATGTCTGTCTGGGTAGCATCTCTGATCCTTCCTTCCTTAGTCCCAGAGGGAAGGATGGGAAGTCTGGCTAAATGTGGCTTTGTGGCTAGATATAGTGAGCCAAGAGCAGAGGCTGAGCAACACTAATGCCCTGAGTGCTGCTGGCTTCTCCAAACAAGTCAGTGAAAAAGGGGCAGCAAGTCCTGGCCAGTTTGGTTCAGCGGTTAAAGCATTGGCCTGCAGACCAGAGAGACCTGGGTTTGGTTCCCACTAAGGGCAGATACCTCGGTTGCAGTTTGTCTCTGGCCCCAGTTGGGGTAGTGTGGGTGTCAATGTGTCTCTCTCACACCGATATTTCACTCGATCTTCCTCCCTCTCTCCTTCCTGCTCTCTCTGAAGATAAATGCAAAAATGTTCTCAAATGAGGATAAAAAATATTTTTTAAAAGGGGGGGGGGGGCAGTGAGCAGAAATAAAATGCAGCATGTTTGGATAAATACATATATCCGCCCTCATGACTACTGATTGAAACATCTCACATATGCTCAACCAAATGGAATAAACAAGTACCACAGGGTCCCTGCCCTACGGCACAAGATCTGGTAACTATTCAGTATGAGGGAATGGCCTCCCCCATGACAGACACATCTTCTAAAGGATAAATTGGGAGGTTCTGGGGATAGGTGGGAATACCTTCCTTTTGTTTTGCTGAGCTGACTTGAAGGAAAATTCCAAAGTGAATCATTCAGAAAAACAAGAACCAGGGCACCTTAGATAAGGAATGGGGAATGCTCCTTATGAAAAAGAACACTGAGATTATCTAAGTAAGGGTCAGAAAGGCAAAAACATTTTTCACATCAAATTTCCCAGAAGCTCTTAGGAATTTTTATAGGTAATCCATTACCAGATGTAACTGTTAAAGAATAGCAAGGCATTTTCCTTGAATAAATATAGTGACAAAGGTTTTAATTTCACAAAGGTTTGCTTTAAAAACTAATCAGAGTTTTTCATTTGTCCCTAACAAGCCACTCTGGGGGCAGGTCTTCCCACTTGGAGCTGACCTCTCGTTTTTGCATTCCTCTACCTGTTTATAGCAAAAACTGACAAGAGACATTTGGACCATCTGAGATTCTGGAAAAATAAAACACACACAAGGAAATATCCATCTTTGAACTCATTTTTACAACTCTGCCATCTACAGTATTAATAGTAAAGATCCATCTGGTCCTTTGTAATCTAAAGGCATTTTATTTTATTGCAAGAGAACCTTGGAACAATTTTTTATTTTGGCAGTATAAATGCAAAATACATATATCATGCTTAGAGGACAAAGGATCTGCTAGCATGGGTCCGTCCCACCCCACACACTGTTTCAATAGCAGCAGTCCTTTACATTTCTTTAATGTCACCAAACACATATGTAGTATTTACTCTGTGCCATCAGCAGTTTTAAGTGCTTTACAAATAACTTATTTAAGCCTTGTTATGGTTATACCTATGAGGTGTACCTATGAGGTACTGTACTATTTCAGATCTATTTTTTGAGATGAGGAGAATAAAGCACAGAGAGATTGAATGACTTGCTCAAGGTCACACAGTTCGTAAGAGGTAGAAATAATTTGAACCCAGGCAGGCATGCTCCAGGGTTCATGCTCCCCTTCATTATTCTGCCTCTCGAACTTTCACCAAATCTAAACTAAAATGAATTGTGATTTGTGCAGGATCATCTTCCACATTTTTATAGCATTACCTTGTCAATAATTCACTCATGTCATGTTTTAGCTTTCTCAGATCCTTGAGGAATAACAAGAGGGAAACAATAAACACTATCAAATACTATATTTGACCACTTTTAATCTTTCGGAAACAGAGTGAAGATATAGAAAATAACAAAATAGTGCCCTGTATTTGCTAGGAAAGCTATTGTGCAAAAAACGTGATTCTTAGCAGGTCTAAATCTTGTAACGCCACTGAAACTTTGAAAGGCCTTTACGCTCGCTCAAATTCCGAATCACTAGAGAAAAGCTGGTGTATACTGGAGAAAATTTAACTACATGGTAAAGAGACAAAGAACAGCTCTTCAAGGCTCTTTCTGGGGAAGACCTCTAAGACCAAAAGGGTTTTCTCCTTGGCACGTTTTAGCACATCTGGCAGAGTGCTATGTGCTCCTTTGCCCATTGCTCTGGCACTCTGCCTTCAGGGAAGGTACACTCCACTGTGCTCAGGCTTTCTGGCAAGGCAGCCCTGTCCTGGGTGGGGCTGGGGAGCTGTGCACACCCCAAAGCACTTCAACATTTCCTTTGGGAGTGTCCTGCAAATGAAGGTAGCAAAAAAGGAGGAAACTACCTCCATTCCTGCAAAGAAACTACGCATTTTTCATCTGAGAAAGGTGCTGGTGTTGGGCCAAGAAAAAGGTCCTCTCTTCACCCTTTCATTTTCAAAGCCGGATTGCTCTTCAAATTCCACACCTGTGGCCTCCAGCTGTGCAAATACTTGTAACTGAGGTAAAAGTGGCAGAAGACTATATTCTACCAGCTACCGTTCTTCTTTCTGACCATCTTCCCTTAAAAAATAATGATGAATAGACTAACCAGTGGCGGGGTGGGGGATGGAGGGTGGGGGCACAACAGCTTTGCCTAGTTCTCTTGTTTACTGGAAACTGGAGTTACCACCATCTCCCTTTACACTGGAATGCAACGGCCCAGCTGTGCAAAAGTCTGGCCCAGTGGCTTGCAGATAACAGGTAGAAAAATATTATTCCCATTTACCTTTCCATCCCTAACCAGAGATGTCAGCCTGCGCATTCAATTACAGTCAACTGACTGTCCCTCTCCCTCCTTCAGAAAGGTCAGGAGAGACATCACCTGCAATTCCCAAAAACTGAAATAGCTAAGGGGACTCCTAACTTTTCTGAACTTAAATTTACTCCATTCCAACACATCTCTAAGGCAGGCTCCTCCCCTTCCTACTCCAGCCTTCCTAGCTACCCTTCTCGACTCCTCTAAGCCCCTTTCTTATTAGCAGTAACACACTGGGATATCTAGAACCCACTTTTGTTTCCATCATCTCAACACACCTGCCAACATAGTAGTCTAAAGATGCCTCTGAAATCTACTTAATTATTTGTGGGTGGTTTTTATTGGTAAGGGAAGTGAGCTATAATTTTGAGATCCAGATAAAATTCTGGAAACAAATTCATCAAACTTCTGTAATGTAGCTTTGATTATTTTTACCATAAAAATATCCATTGGTGATCATGGAAAAGGTAAAAATCAATGTTCTGGCCTGCCACTGATTACATGATTACCTATAGAACTTAAAAATTATGCTTTTTTCCAGAGGTGTTATTTGATTATACTGGGTGGTCCACTTAGAACACAGTCAACACAACCTCACCTCAAAAAAGGATTTACAAATAGGCCTCTTTACACAATAGCTATGGTAAGGATTTTATCGTACTATAAAGTTCAGTTTGTTTAGTGTAAATACAGTCTAGACTCCTTATCTTACCCCCATCTCAGAACCTGGAGCAAAGAAAAGGATGAGCCTAATGAGAAAATAGAAGCTGGAGATACTGGGGACAAAAGCTCAAATGAGCATCTGGTGAAGAACAAACTGCCTCCTTACTACAGGTATCTGAAAACCCCCATGTCAGAATCACACCACCAAGCCTTGCTGGTAATGAGCCCTCAGGTGTGCTGAGGGAAGGGATGAATGAGGGTGGAGAGCACCCCCTCCTAGGGAGCTGGAGAGTACCCCCTCCTATGGAGCTGAAGTCCCCAGTGATGATGATACTCACGCTGACACTGTCCCCAGGACTGGCGGGCCCAGCCCCAGCAGCAGTCAATCCTCCCACCATAACGACACAGGCCAATTGACGACGCTATTTGCCTGGGCCACCTATCAAACAAAAAGATTCAAAATAAATAAAGACACTTTTGAAATTAAAAATAATTTCCTCTTTGTTATTATGTTAGAAAGTAATTAAAGCACACACATGAACTCTTTCATGCCTGTAGAATTTAAGGATAAAACACCTTCAGGGAAATAGTTCTGCTCTGATCTAATTTCAAATTTCAGACAGTTAAACACACACACAACACTCAACACACAGGAGTAGGGGGAAATGGGAGGGGAAAATCCTTTCTTAAATGCAAATAGCACCAGCTAAAAACAAGATTTCTCAAGGCTGCCACTCACAGGGTGGTTTGTGAAGCTTAAAATAAAACAGATTCCTCAAAGACCCACACCTGGAGGCGGGAGCACAGCTTTGACAGATTCATCATAAACTGAAAAGTATTAAGACATGTCAAAATAGAAAGAAAAAAATTTCTGCCTTATATAAAAAGTAGATGTAGAAAGGGCAAAGAGAGGGGAGGGAGGTTTCTCAAAATCAGATGAAACAGAACTCTTTTCAAGATATGACTCTTTGGCAGAAAAAGTTCCCAGAAAAAAATGTACTAGAAAAAGATGTCTAAATAAAACCAAGGGAGTTTAAAGTGCAGCTAACATCTCAAGTGTCCTTGTGGTTTGAAACTTTCCTGCATCAACAATTCATGTTATCTTCCTCTCTAATGTAAATAAGGACTAAAGAAAGTATTTAATTTCAGGATATACTGATTTATCCACCAGATTCCACTTTGGCACCTTATTTGGTGAATTGTTTCCTTTTTTAGACACTTAAATGACTACCCCTACCCCAGAAGATCAGTATTTTCACTGGCTGTTCTAGTCATGTTTTTAAACTACATTACAATCTTATGCTTATATCATGTGATACATTTCTTGTTGCAAATGTGTCTTAAAGAAATGCACAACGCACCAGAAGGTGAGCAAAAAACTGCTTTTAAAACAATAAAATAGCCTCTGGCCCCTCCCCGCGTCCGTTTTCTGTCTTTTCTTTTCCTTTCTCTCGCCAGCCCCCCACCCCAAGCCCGAAATACAAAATAACCCCGAACTTTCTATTTCCTCCGACCAGGTGGTAAACAAGCGGCTGCGCTCCACTGGTCGCCTTCCGTTCCCCTCCGGGTACAAGAAAGCCAATCAATCTTGGAATCGATTCGTTCCAAGATTGCAAGTAAAACAGGTGCCGCGGTCTTGAGGGCTGCGCAGGCAGTTAATTGGCGGGTGGGGGTCGCTGAAAGAAGGCGGCTGGATAGCGGTGTGACCCAGGTGAAGCTCTCTCCCGGCTGCTCCGCCGGGCGTCTGCGCGAGCAGCAGCGATCTGCGCTCGGGCCGAGTCTGGTGTGCAACTGCGCGGAGGTGGGGTAGCCAAGCACACCCTCCCAAGACACACACACACACACACACACACTCGCGGAGCGTGCCCGGCGGCGGGGGAGAGGGTGCCGCGCGCCGCGGCGGGAAGGGCTGAGTGACAGCGAAGACGGAGTCTGGTTGTTGGAACCTGTCAGAGCACGCCGGAGTCAGGCTCGCCCGAGGTCTCGGTGGCGCTGTGTGTGTGTGTGTGTGTGTGTGTGCGCGCGCGCGTACACACACACACACACACACGGAGCGTTCTCCCACTTCAGTCCTTATTTTAAGTCCTTCTAGAAAACCAAGTGGTAGGCAGGCATACAGGTCCCCCCTGGAAGCCCAGTGACTCCCTCGCCACCACTCTTGGTTGAGCGGCCCTGACAGCTCCAAGTCGGGACTTGGTCCTGGCCCCTGGGAAGTTTCCCCGCCTAAGAGCCGTCTAAATCAAGAGCGAGAGGTTCCCGGCCAAGGGATGCGCCGCGCGTCACCACCTCTTAGCGACTGACCCGCGCCCTCAGAGGCGAGATGGCGGGCTCGAGCCTCCCTGCACCCCCAGCCCGGATCCCCGAACCTGGAGCCGCAGCTGGATCCCCCGGGTGGAGGGAGAGCAGCTCGACGGCTCTCCTCCTGCCTAGGCGATGCCGTGGCCCAGCTTCTGGACAGAGGCGCCTTGTGACCGCGCCGGCGTGCCTGGAGAGGGGACCTCAGGACCGTAGGAGATTAGCGTGGGAAAGAAGGCGGATAAGACGTCTCCCCGGGGCCAACTCACCTCCCGTCGAATTCAGCGGCCGCCGGCAGGTAGAGAGAGGATCCGAGCACCAGCGCCAGGAAGAAATCCATGTCGGGCGGCCAGGCCCGGCGGCGGCGCGGCTGCACGCGGGGACCAGGTTGGGGTACTCGGCGCGGAGGAAAGGCGCGCTCGCCTCCTTGCCTCCCCCGAGGAGCTGCGGCCACCGCGGCTGCTGCTGCCACCCTCGGAGGAGAGCGGCGCGGCGCGCAGCCTGAGCAGGTCTGCCGCGCGGCGCCCGGAGCCCCTCCGGCTCCCTCCCCGCGAGGGAGGCGCTGCAGGGGGAACCGCGCCGCCTGCGGGGAGGGGCGGGGGGCGCGCGTGCGCTCCACTCGCCGCCCTTCCGGCCCCGGGCGAGGGGTGAGGGCGCCCGGCCCCGCCGCGGGAAGCTCTGGACCGCAGCGTCTCTTGGGGGCCAGCCAAGCGGGGCGAGCGCCAGGCTGGGAGGAACGTTGCACGGCCGCCCTGGACGAGGAACGCGGGGTGCTCCGCAGGAAAGGGTGAGCCGAGAGGAAAGGGGCCGGGGCGTAGGCTCGCGCTCCGCCTGCTCGCCGAACAGGTGGTGACGGCGGGGGGAGCCGCGGCTTTCACCTGACGGCCGAGGTGTCCAGGACCAGAGACGCTTACGGGGCTGGAGTGGAGCAGCGTCTGCATTAGTGAAACCACAGCACGACTTGGACAAATTAGCAAAGGCAAACTCCGGGAGTGTGCTTCTCCCACAGAGTTGGCAAAGGCATATTTTTTATTTTGTAACCAACCGAAAGAAATGTCTGGCTCTCCAGTCGAGTTTTTAAGAAGCAACGTGCAGACGGTCTATCTCTGCCAGCTCAACTCCGAACACATTAGAAGGGTAGCAAGGCTGCCCCTCCAGGGGCGCGTGCCCGCCAGAGATGGAGGGCAGTTACTACTGAGCAGTCTTGTGGTGCCTGATTTTAATAAATCATTGCTCTGGGTTTTTTTCAGAGTAAAACGTATTGTACTAAAGGGCTGTGCTCAGATGAGAACACTTAAATGATTATGCTAAAATGCACGTTTACATCAGTCCAATCGAGTCACCCCTCTTCCCAAATCCTATCCCGGAAAGACTCCCCCAGGGCAGTGATCTGCCATTCCCACACTTCTCAGACCCAATCTCTCTTCTAATCCTTGCCTTTCTAGAGCATTCCAGGCATGTCCCTGCCTTAGGGCCACTGCCCGACTGTTACTTCTCTCTGGGCACAGATGTCTGCATGGCTCACATTCTCACTTCATTTGGTCTTTGCTCAAATGTCACCTCTTTGCGGAAACCAACCTTGACCACCCTATTTAAAGTTGCACCCTGACCCCTTCTCATGCCCCTTGCCTGTTCTACTTTGTTTTTTTCCCCATACCACGAATCCTATAGTTTCCTATATAATTTACTTATGTCTTCTTTGTAGGGTTTCTTTCTGTTAGAATACAAACCCGGCAAGGACAAGTTTCTGTGTCGAGAGCATAGAACAGTGTCTGGCAGTAGTAAGTGCTCATAAATGTTTATTGAATGGGCTTGTGATATTACAAACTTTTCTCCCCACCTTTATTTTCTTGTTGAGGTTTCTCAACTTCAAATTTTTAGTGGAAAGTTCTGTGGCAAAGTAACCTCATTATCCTGATCTCTTAGTATGTATAAAAACAGGAATTTTCTTTGAGAAAAGGGAAAATAATGGTTTCAACTTAAACGACTCTTTGATTTCCAAGTTGTTTTCTGTTAGCAAAACAAGTTTCTATTTTAATCTCAGGAAATATCCATGCCAATTCAGGCTTGGGACATTATTTTAGGCAAACAGCTTGGTGTCATCCATTTCAGATCTTTCTAATGAAGTCCAAAAATGTAGGAGTCAAAATATTTTTTTTGCAGCAAATCACATTTTTGTAAGTGTAATGTGGGCTTTTTTTCCAGGCTTCAGTGGCTACTCCTTAGCCATTTTCTTTGTTTATTGGTTCCTGGATTGGATTTGCAAATAAGCACCACCAGACCGATGGATGATTATGGACAGTGGGCTAACCTACAGGCCAAAAACTGGAGATAGAGGAAAGGAAAAATAGTGGTGAGTGGAAAGAGGACTTCTATCTGGAACAAAAGGGCAGTGCCCCATCTGTATGCCTCTTTTATTTTTTCTTATCTTTTCTTTGGCCTAGAAAACACTCCATTCATCTTCCTTCTTCATTTAGACACTCACTTACCCTTTGGGTCCATAGGGAAACCCTTTGATTCTTTGCTTGGTTGGGCCTCCTGTGGTACATGCTTCTACAACCCTATGCATTTCCTGGAGTGACTCTTACTGTACTGTTGTAATTGCTTCTCTGTCACTCTGGGTTCTCATGAGACACTAATATAACCAATAGAAGGACAAGAGCAGTTGTCACTCTGTCCCTTGTGCCCAGCACACTGCCTGGCACAAGGCTTCAAATCAGCAAATATTAAATAGATTGAATTAGATTAGATTGAATTTCTGCCTGGTGAACTTTAGCTTCTCCCTTGAGTGAGCTGTAGCTAATTATATCAGTTTTTGTTGAATCATGGAATGAGGAGACTCTAAAGGAACTCCAAGTTTTAACTGGTTAATATGCTGCAGTTATGACCACCAGTGATCATTCCAAAAGAGAGGTGGAGTTCCCATGGCAGTGACATTTTATTATCTGTCTTCAAAACAAACATGAAAGAACCAAATCAAAACAACTTGCTTTTAGCAATCTCTGTACTTTTCCAGTAGGACATCCTTTTGGTTCAGTTTTATACCAGGTAATGCCACCTTGCAAGTAGTGATGCCAGTTTTCTCTCACAGAAATAATTACCTATCACGGGTCACAATATGACACAGATGAACAACAACATAAAAACAAACAAATGCAACTTCAGACACTTGGGGATTAGAAGCTCTTAATTATTTAGTCTTTCTAGGTGCTAGGACTTCAGCTGGGATCCAAAGTTGTACCCTGAAAGAGTTCACGTTGCAGTGCAGAAACAGAACAGTGAGGGCTATGAAGGCAGGATAAAGGTGTAAAGAGAAGGTAGAGGAAGGATAAGGTGATAGAAAGTGACGAGGTATGGTTTTAGGTGGAGTGATTTGGTCATCTTTGGGGAGGTGACACTTGAGCAGAGACTGAATGCAGTGTGGGTGGGGGTGGTGTCCAGGCAGGAGGGTGAGAGGTGTGTTTTCTCTGTCAAGTTTTCTTAGCCATTGTCATGCTAACCATTAAGCAAGCTCCCCCTCTACCCTATGCAGTGGTGGCCCAGGGATAGGACTACTGCTTTAAAAACTCTTATTAAGAAAAGAGAAGGACGAGGAACACACAGCTGCTCATTCACAGCAATTCTGACTCCCAGCTAAGCAAGAATTATGGAGCTTCTCTGCCCTGGCGGTGGAGGAAGCGCCCTGGTCAGATAATCAGGTCACCCCTGCTTGTACTACCTGTCCATTAATCTTGCAGAGCCACATTGGAAGTGACTGTTGGAGTATATGCCTTCCTTGGGGGCTATATATCATTTACAGTTCTTTTACTGCTGGTACAAATTTAAAGTCCAGAGTGTTGCTTTAAGGAGCCAACAGAGATAGGCATTTTCAGGCCAGACTCAAGGTTTCTGTGGCTACAAGATATCCTTAAAACCCTAATAGGCTTTAGATCTAATTGCTTCCAGTCAGTTTTCTGCGCAGAAAACCAAATGCAAAGTCTTTTCTGGTCCTAGTTTTTAAGCCTGCTTTATTTCTTTGCTTCCAAGAGTCCCTACCTTCCCCTTTCATCTTAATGGGGGCCACCTTGAGGCTAGCTGAAATAACAGGGTTGCTTGGGAGGGGAACACCCTCACTCTGATCCTTCCCACAAGACTTGGATCCCTTTATCTATATTAATGTTCGGGGCATGAAAGCAGTTGTCCTTTGCAATCCCGGGGGCGGGGGGTGGGGCAGAGTTTCTGGACATTCTCATTTTCTTTCATTTCTGCTTGCAAAGCAGCAGCTCTTGCCTGAGCTCCTTCCTTCCTTTCTTAATTTCTTTCTTTCTTATTTTCTTTCTTTCCTTCTTTCTTTCTTCCTTCCTTCCTTCCTTCCTTCCTTCCTTCCTTCCTTCCTTCCTTCCTTCCTTCTTTCTTTCTTTCTTTCTTTCTTTCTTTCTTTCTTTCTTTCTTTTTCTTTCTTTCTTCTTAATCCTCACCCATGGACATTTTTCCATTGATTTTTTATTTGATAGAGTGGGAGGGAGGGAGGAGAAAAAGAGAGAGGAAAGAGAGAGAAACATCATTGTGAGAGATACACATTAACTGGTTGGCTACTTCAGGATCCTGACTGGGGCCAGGGGTTGAACCCACAGATGAGGTTCGCCATGCCCTTTACTGAGACTCAAACCCATGACTTTTTGGTCTACAAGCCGACACCCTACCACACCAGCCAGGGCATCTCATCTCTTTCTTAAGATACTTTTCTAAAAGCAACAAGGAGCAGCCAACATTTTCATTTTTTATAGCAATATTCGCTTTATCTGGATATTTTTTGTGCCTTCCAAGTGAGCATAGGTAATGATTTTACAAAACAGCAGGAGTATTACTAGCTTTCCAGCCTAAACACAGCAGCGATGGTTTACACCCCAGTTGGAGCATATCATCCTGTCAAAGAATAGACAATTTCAATACTATTTAAATTCTTCTGAAATATGAAAAAAGGAATGCTTACAAATTATTCCTAAGAACTCATTGCTCTCTAAACCTGACAAAAAGCCTCATTTGGGCAACATGCACACATATACACAGCTCATCTCCGATATGAATATCTACGCAGAAGCTCTAAATAAATGATTAGCGAGTGTCATGTAGGGATATATTAGAAGAATCTCACAATCACGTTGACAGAAAACCTCCATGTGGGTAAAGGGTTAACAAAACCCTTTCCCCTTCTCTGGGAGTAGTGACCTTATGTTAACTTTCTCGCCCTGTTCCCCTGGCAACCTGATAAGGTGGACTGTGAACTATATTGCTAATAAAAAAAGGACCCCTGACTGGTAAACTGCATTTAGACAAGGAGAACCAAATATGCCTGATAGCAAACCCTAGCATTGGACTAGCCTGAGTTCAGTG